ACTACTAAAGCTATGGGGCTTCTCTTCCCCTTTTCTCATTTTTTTATTTCCGGATCCTTATCTTTTAATTTTTCCTTTTTCTTTCTAGGCCTACACTCTTGTTCCCCCTTCTGATCTGATTCTGAAAAGCTGTCCTGATGTTTCTGTAATGCCTTGCGACCCTGTTTTAATATCTCTATATTACGTTCTTCCTTCAAGCAGTCCCGCACCATCCTCCAAAAAGGAAGTGTGCCTCTCCCAATATTTCCTTCTGCTTGTTCCAAATCCCTGCCTAGCTTATTCCAAGATGGTAAAGTTAGGTCACCTGAAGCTGCAAACCAATGTGAGACATCAACAATGTCTTTTACAATGTTAGCGACAGTGCTAGAAGAGATCTTTAAATCACGCTGTCGCAAAAGTGCCTGGATTGAGCGATAAATCTCCCTGGGGTTCGAGCTGGCTCCATAAGAATTGCCCATGGTGCGCACTTACCCCCTGGGCTAAAGAAAAAAACCTCCTTTTTACTTACAAGGAAGTCCTTTTAGAAAAATGCCGCTTGATCTACTGCGGACTTATTTTTACTTTTGACTAGAGCTGCAGTCACAGCAGCAACAAAGGCACTCACCACCTGGTTAATCACAGCGCAACCCAAAGCAACATAGAAGAAGGAATGCAAACATTACCACTCTGGACCAGCCTTAGCAATCAGCATACATCTGGAGGATTTCCTGACGTCAGTCACAGCTCTTTGCGTTGAGTTCTGAATTCTGCTCCCTCCTTGGCTTGTTCAAATCCGGCGTCCCGGGTTATCAGCACCAAAATGTGACGCGTTTCCTGACCAGCAGGAAAGGACGATCACAAAATCAAGAATCCTTCTCAATCACAATTTATTAGAGCTCCTTGCTTGAAAGGGGGAATGGGGAACAGGGATGACGAGAGAGAGAGCGAGAAATCCAAAGACAGCCGCTTTTCTAGGGTGAGAGGCTCGAATGCTGATTGGTTGATGCCATTCTACTAGGACCCAAGGCCACGGGACAGGTCAGGAGACCGAGTCTCTTGAGATGCAAAACAAGGCTCCGAGCACACCGGCCTAAGGCGGCCACATCAAAGGATATGTATACCTCCAGGCAGAAGGACTGCTGGCACTATCTGGCCAAGGTGACACCCAGGCGGCTCCCTACATCCCATGATTGAAGGAAACTTACTGAGTTATAAATATATTACAGAAATGTGATTTATTTTAAAAAATCTTCATTTGTTTGCCTATAAAAGTCTAGACAGATTTCATAATGAAAAATAAATTTGGCTGTAAAAAAGAATTCAGATTTTAGAAGAGAAAATACAGTTAACACCAACCTAATTTCACATAATTGTGTATGTTTATCATATGAGAATGAGATCTATGGTCTCTTACATATTGGTAGTGACCCAATGACATTAACAATTAAGCTGCTTCTCCAACCCTATTATTTTATATATACTTATATATATATATAATATATATAAGTATATATGATATAATATAATTATATATAAATTTATGTTACATAAATGTTTCTTCAAAACAGTAACAAAAGAATTTTGAATATTTCTTAAGCAGTAGACTTCTTGAATAAAGCAAGGAAAATAATTGTATTGCACATCTGCACCTTTTAATAAAGGAAAGTGCACACAGGGCAGGCATGACACATATTTAGATCCACATTTCTGAGTAAATTCAGTTTAAGATTCAAGGTTGTAAGTTTTTAACACACACATACACAGAGAGACACACCTTATCATTCTATACACTAAAGTAATTTTTTCATAGTACTTTTTTATAGTTTTTATTGCAGTATACATTTTTCTGTATACTATATTTATAGACAGGTCAACTTTATACACAAAGAATTTTGTTAAGATCACCCTTCCTTTGGATCTTGTTTTACAAAATATTTGATATTCATTGTATCAGAGAATTGGTGAGCAAAATCATGTATTTGAAATCTTTTATTAAATATGTGGCACAAGGCTGATTCTTTCAGTCATTCTACACAAATATGCTTTCCTGTGTCTCTGCCTGCTGCAGTTGTCTTTAGGAATATAGTCTTTACTGTTGATATCTGAAGAAAGACCTTTTAAGGTACTATTGAAGTGGGGAGTCTACTGTTTTCAAAACCGTTTAATGGGTTTCCAATATTCTTATGTTTTATGTTTATTTATTAAATTTTATGTTATAGTTTTGACTATATGTATATATGTATACCACATTGTGCCTGGTGCCCAAAGAAGACCTCTTCTGGAATTGGGTCCACTGAAATTGTAGTTACAGATACTTGTGAGCCATTGACTGGATGCTGAGAATCAAATCCAGGTCTTCTGAACGAGCAACAAATTGCCTTTAACTGCCAAGTCTTATTTTTTTTTCACTTAAAACTATTAAAAAAGAACCAGCCAAGATCTCAGAATTACTGACTGGCATTCTTTCCAGTGATCTTGTGTAACTTTCATATTATAGCAATGAAGTTTAGGCCCAGAAGCATTTATGGCATCTTCTTTCTGAACTTGTAATGATCTTCAACTGAGCATGCTCAGAAGTGTGCATCCATGGACTGCCTGTCTTACATGAGTAGGTGCAGCTCTTCCTGTCAACTGCTTCTGATGGCTCTATTAGAGAAGGGCTTGTGCTACAAATACCTCCAGTGCCCTCTGGCCACTACGTCTGTCTGTGTTTCTGTTTTTTTTTTCTTGTCAAGCTCTTTGACTTGATACTCATTGCAGGAGAATCTGCTACAATTAGGCTACCCATTTACTTCTTCCAGTCTGGATATAGGAAATTCCTTCCAGATTTGCTGTCATTTTCTGTGATCTTAAAGAATTATGAACATATGCACTTACAGGGTCCCTCCCCCACATGTTTTCAGCTTTGATAATCAGTTTTTCCCATTGCCTCTGGGCCTGAGACCTTATTTATTTGAAAACTGTTCTTGGAAAGTTTTCTCCCCACTCCACATTAATGTGTCATTAATAGACCACAAGTCATTAAGACAGCCAGCCTATTATGCAACACTAGATGATCACTGTTGTAACTATAGTAAAAATTTAATTATTCAAAGCTGGTCACATGGTGGCATTTACTAAGTGGAAAATTTAAATTGAAGAAGGTCTGTTTGTTGTTGTTTAGCATTTCTTTTTTAGGCAGCAGAAAACTTAAAATCTCAGAAATCCTCATGCCTTTGAACACAAAGTTGAATGTTTTAAAGAGGCGACAAGGTTGCATTTGCTAAGGATGGTAGTAAAGACCTGAAATGAATTCAGTGCAAAGTGGACCAATGAACTATTTTTTTTTGTTTGTTTTTGTTGTTGTTATTCCTTACTGTAAACTTTTGTGTTGATACCAAGAATAAAAATATTTGTAACATCTATGGCCATTGGTCTTTGGAAATACGTTATACAAATTAAGGGTAATTACTGCACTAAGTTTTCAAACACATTTTCATGCATTAATGATGTCTCATTTTTCAGTCTATATTTGGCTCAATCACTGACACATCATCTGACATCAGCAAACTTGCTGTGAGCGGGGCGCATCCTGACCAGCAGGAATGAACGCCACCAAAAACGAGAATTCCTTCCCTGGTCACATCTTTATTCGGAGCATTCCGTTGAGGAAAATTGGGGGAAGGGAAGATAGAGCAGGGACAAGAGAAAGCTTAGAGAGAGAGCGTTGGGCCCCGAGGCAGCTGCTTTTAAACGGTGGAGAGGCTTGAATGCTGTCCTGATTGGTTAATGCCATTCTGCTGTTCTGAGCATGTGCAAGCAAGGGTGCAGGCAAGGGTGCTCAGCCCCACGTGGCTGAGCCAGGTATACCTCCAAACTGCAGGACCAACCTGTGCCTCCAGGTGGCTCCCAACATCTCCCTCTTCTCTTGTTAATAAGAGCAATAAGGCAAAACTATTTTCCAATCTGGCCCCCACCTCACTTGGGCTAGCAGGTAGCACACCAATCAAAGACATACAGCACTTCCACCTATACACAGCATGCCAAGAATATCTCTGCTCCCACCCATTCCTAAGGAAGGAAAAGGCAAAATAGAGTCAGTCGTTAAGAGATAAGAGGTTGCACAGGGTGCTGCTCAAGTCGATGGTGTGAAACAGCTGCTCTTGGCACCGCTCAGAAGGTCATCACTGCTGCCTCCGCACGAATCTTCCACAGCAGTATCCTTCATTTCTCTGGTCGGTCTTGCTGGCACCCAGATGTATGTCAGCATTCCTAGAAAAACATAAACAAAACTCTCCTCCCAAATTAACATTTTAGAGTACTAAAAACTCTCAGTGTAAAAATTCAGCACAATCAGTACTGGAAGTAGGCTGGTTTTGAACTTAGAGACCTGTAGGTCTCTGCTCCAAAGAGCAAATCTTGTTTGTCTGTGCCATTAAAGCAGGCCTTAGAATTAGACGGAATTGTTTTCAAACAGAGCATCTCTGTCTGCTGTTGTTTTTCCAGCAAAAATTTGAATTAAAAATTAAATGTAAAGAATGCAAGAGATATCCTTTCTCTGGGGGAAGCTGTCACTGGTAGTCCCCCTCTATTGTTTAACACCAAAACAGTTGTCACTGAGAATTGAACTCATGGCCTTTGGAAGAGCAGGCAGTGCTCTTAACCCCTGAGCCATCTCTCCAGCTCCGCATTCAAATGAAAAAACCTCTAGGTAGCATTGTTTTATTCCACCCGTTGCCTCAAGCGAAAGGTCCGCCTCTGTTACCTAGGATACAGTAACCAGGTAGACACGCCTTTATTATGATAATTAGGACCAGTTCTTTGAGGGAGAATGGGCGTAGACCATCAATCTGACTACTTCCTGCTGACAAAGGGACGTTGTTTGGGGGATAAATGTTTTTATCTGACTAAATTTTTGGCGACAAATGTTTTTATCTGACTGAATTTTTGGCGACAGCGGCTGTGAGCAGCGGCAGCAGCAGCGGACGGCGGCGGCTCCGCCTCTGAGGCCCATTGTGGCGCGCTCTGCATGGCCCAAAGGCATGGCCCCTCCCCGGGCCGAGCGCTGGCTCGCCGTTTCACCTCAGGCAATGAACTTGCACCGCCGGCTGTGAGTCTTTTCCAAGCTCAGGCGAGGGGGGGCATCCGCCCACCCGTGGAGGGCCCGGTTAGGGCCGCGGGGGGCCCCAGTCTCAGACCTTCCCAGGGGTCTCCGTCTTTAGGTCTTAAGCGGCGCTGCTGCTCACCACGCAGCTTCCGCCTCAGTCAGGCGAGTCCGCTCAGGTGCTGAAAAAGTCCTCCAAAAACCATAGCCCCGCCAGAAGGCCAGGACACATAGCCTCTGATGTCACAGGAACTTTAGCCCGCCCGTCGCCACAGTGACCTGGCTTTTCGTAGGCCTCTCTGGACTCCAGCAAACTCGCACTAGCATCTAGCACTCTCCGGTGCAACTTTGCGTCTCCCTCCTGAGTAGCTGGGATTACAGGTGTGCACCACCGTGCCAGCCCATTTCCTCAATCAAAATTTCTGTACGTGAGAGCCAGAGACTGAGCTCTCTTAACAAAATTAGGCGAAAATCACCTCAGAAACTCTGTGGCTCTTTAAGAACAGGGAAGGAAGTCTTCGAACACTCAAACTTGCCTCCCTATGAGACTGTTGCCCCGGTCTCTAACAGCGAGTACGGACGGAGGAAGCCGCGGATCTCCCAACCGTAAACCTCGCTTTTTCTCAGCTCCACCTGCACTGAACTTAAGGGATTTTTCTTCCCCGTTGCTTTCTGTACCTTCTTTCAGATACCTTAACTTTGATTTTTTTTTTGTATTTTTTTTTCCTTTTTAGGCCTATACTTTGAAATTCTTTTTCCTCCCCTTTCTGGAGGATTCAACTGACATCACTCACCGCTCCACGTGTTCAGAGTTCTGAAATTCACTGCTCTCTGTGTCCTGGTGTCTGATTTCAGCTTTTTCTCCCGGACTTTCAGCACGTTGCTGGGCACTTCCTTCTCAGGGTCCCCCGGCGTAGTTGTCAGGGTCCCTCAGCGTCCCGGGTTTCAGCACCAGTAGCGGGGCGCATCCTGACCAGCAGGAATGAACGCCACCAAAAACGAGAATTCCTTCCCTGGTCACATCTTTATTCGGAGCATTCCGTTGAGGAAAATTGGGGGAAGGGAAGATAGAGCAGGGACAAGAGAAAGCTTAGAGAGAGAGCGTTGGGCCCAGAGGCAGCTGCTTTTAAACGGTGGAGAGGCTTGAACGCTGTCCTGATTGGTTAATGCCATTCTGCTGTTCTGAGCATGTGCAAGCAAGGGTGCAGGCAAGGGTGCTCAGCCCCACGTGGCTGAGCCAGGTATACCTCCAAACTGCAGGACCAACCTGTGCATCCAGGTGGCTCCCAACAGCTGTGGAGTCCCATTCCTCGTGGAAAGAAATGTTATACTGAGAGCCAAGAAAGCAAAAACTGTGGGAATAGTTTTAGTCTTAGGAAATCTATTCATAAGCTACCAGAAATAAATTATCATAAATTGCTAAATTAATAATACTAACTGGTAAAAAGATTACATTTTTATGTCCAAGGAACATACAAGAAGCTTAGAAATGAACAAGTGTTGTGGAATATTATTTTAAGATATGTTATATTTGTTTATGCTGTGGAACTTTTTTTTAGTTTGGAAAAGATGTGCTGCATTATTTATGTTCAACTCTATGAAGCTGTGTTTCTTTACCTGTCTAAGATGCCCATTGGTCTAATAAAGAGCTGGACAACCCATACAAAGACAGGTAAAAGAATAAGGGACTGACAGGTAGAGATAATAAATAGGAGAAAAAGAGGGATCAGGAAGTAAGAAAGATCAAAAATCAGGATCAAAGATCAAGAAGAAGGAGAAGAGGAAACCAGGGGCCAGCCACTCAGTCACATAGAAAGAGGTAATAGTGAAAGTAAGGTTACAAAAGTAAAAAAAAAAAGCACAGAAGGAAAAAGTAGACTCCATCCCCAATCCTCCCCCTCTCCCTTCTCTCTAACCATCTCCCCTTACTTCCACCCCCCAGCTCCCCATTCACCCAAGTTTGCCTGGCAATCTTGTCTACTTCCAATATCCAGGAGGATAACTATATGAGTTTCTTCAGGTTCACCTTTTTATTTAGCTTCTCTAGGATCACGAATTATAGGTTCAAAGACCTTTAACTATGGCTAGAATCCACTTATGAGTGAGTACGTACCATATTCCTCATTTTGGGTCTGGGTTACCCCACTCAGTAAAGCGTTTTCTATTTCCACCCATTTGCATGTAAAATTCAAGATGTCATTGTTTTTTACCGCTCAGTAAAACTCTAATGTGTATATGTTCCACACCTTCTTTAACCATTCTTCTCTTGAGAGGAACCTAGGTTGTTTCCATGCTCTGGCTATTACTAATAGTGCTGCTTTGGACATACTTGAACAAATGCTTTCGTAGTATGATAGGGCATCTCTTGGGTATGGGATGCAGGGGGAGGAAGAATGGATATGGGAGCAGGGAAGTATATATCTCAACTAAGGGAGCCATTTTAGGGTTTGCAAGAGACTTGATTCTGGAGGGGTTCCCAGGCCCAAGGAGAGGTCCCCAGATTGTTCCCTGGGCAGCAGAGAAGAGGGTGCTTGAACTGGCCTTGACACATAACCATAATGATGAATATTTTGCTTATCACCATAGAACCTTCATCTGACAATGGATGGAGATAGAGACAGAGACCCACATTGGAACACTGGACTTAACTCCCTAGGTCCAAATGAGAAGCAGAAGGAGGGAGAATGTGAGCAAGAAAGGCTGGACCAGAGGGATCCTTCATCTGACGACAGATGGAGATAGAGACGGAGACCCACATTGGAGCAGTGGACTGAGCCCCCAAGGTCCAAATGAGGAACAGAAGGAGGGAGAACATGAAAATGGAAATCAGGACCGCAAGGGGTGCGTTCACCCTCTGATACAAGGGGACTGATCTAATGAGAGATCACCAAGGCCAGTTGGACTGAGACTGAACTAGCATGTTCAGAGACCGGAGTCTCTGAATGTGACTGACATGGGGGCTGACTGAGAAACCATTGACAAAGGCACTGGGTCTTGTTTTGTCTGAATGTACTGGCTTTTTGGGATCCTAGTCTGTTTGGATGCTCACCTTCCTAGACCTGGAGGGAGAGGGGAGGTACTTGAACTTCCCACAGGGCAGGAAACCCTGACTATTCTTAAGACTGGAGAGGGAGGAGGAGCGGGAGTGGGGGGCAGGAGGAGAGGGAGTGGGGGGAATGGGAGGATATGGGGAGGAGGGGAGGAAGTGGAAATTTTTATAAACAAATAAATAAATTAATTAAAAAAAGAAAAAGTAGATGGCATAATTTTAATTAAGAAAAACTGGCTAGAAACAAGTCAAGCTAAGGCTAGGCATTCAAAAGAAATAATAGGACTCTGTGTATATGAAAGACTAAAGAGAAAAAAATTTAAAATTTTTAAAAATTTTAAAATTTAAAAAATATCAGGAATATCATCATATAACCTTCATCCTGCGGTGGATGGAGATAGAGACAGAGACCCACATTGGAGCATTGGACTGAACTTCCATGGTCCAGATGAAGAGCAGAAAGAGGGAGAGGATGAGAAAGGAAGTCAGGACCAGGACCGCTAGGGGTGAGTCCACCCACTGAAACTGTGTGACTGATCTAAGCGGAGCTCACCAAGTCCAGCTGTACTGGGACTGAACGAGCATGTGATCAAACCGGACTCTCTGAATGTGGCAGGCAATTGGGGTTAACTGAGAAGCCAATGATAATGGCACTGGGGTTTGATTCTATGGAAGCCTAGTCTGCTTTGATGTATACCTTTCCTAGACCTGGATGGAGGGGGAAGGGCCTTGGACTTCCTACAGGGCAGGGTACCCTGACTTCTCTTAGGACTGGAGAGGGATGGAGAGGAGGAGTGAGGGGAGTAGGAGGGAAATAGGAGGACGTGGAAATTTTTAATAAATAAATAAATAAAAGAAAGAAACAACCTAACCAGTAATAAACAAGTAATAGAAAGTTATAGTTAGACTTTATCTCTGAAGCTTTATTTCAGAAATTCAATGACAAGAAATGAGGAAAGTCAAGCTCCAAGAATAAGCAGGAAAGTTGTTTTGATGTTGTTGTTGTCTGGGGCGGGTGATTACTGCTGTCATGAGGCTGTTTTCAGATGTCTACAGTCATGAACTGCACAAAGCATTGTTCCTGATGCTGCTGACAAACTCTAGCAAGAGGTCATAGACATCGTGTTCGTATGCTATAATTCTACTGCTGGGAATAAGTGAAAAGAAAATTTTATGTGGGTTTTTTTCTTTATTTTTTCCTTTGACATTACTTATTTTTCTTATTTCTAAGACATCACCTGAATACTACTTTACTGAAGAAGGGTTGTTTACCATTTCACCCTAATTATTTTAAACTGAAACCTTTTAACAATAGAGCTTCTCTAAATCTGAAAGTTGTTCCCATCTAAAAGACCTGAAATTTCTTCTCAGTTATTAGTTCTGTATGTTTGATTTTGTCAGGATAGTCAACACAACTTCAAGCCATGCTAAGCAACTTTCTTGGGAGCTTTTGTTTTTGTATTCACTTAATGAAGCCTTGTAAGACACCTCTACTCTGTTTCATAGTTTTTAAATAAACAAACAAAAATTACCCAGAGTATATTCATTTCAAAGTAATTAAGAAAAGACAATTAGTATTAATGGAAAATTTTACACTGGGGTAATATTGAATTCTTAACAAAATGTACTTTGATAATAAACCTAAATGGAAATTTGCTCAGCAAATATCTACTGCACTGGGTAGGTTTTCATGATGATTATTCTTATTTGGATGATGTAATTTTTATGCAGTTTTGTTTACCTGCATATATACTTAATTTCTTTTTGTCTGTTTGGCTTAGGTGTGGGTAATTTATAATTATACCAAATGATCTGCCACTTGGGTAGACTGGGCTCTGAGCTTTGTGGTAGACACTGAGAGGAGTAAGAGTGAATTTGGAATGCTGTTTTCTTGATTCGCAGACACAGTCATCTCACTCAACTGTTTCACCCAGCCATTGAACATACACATTTATTC